TTACTGAAGCGATTCCCATTCTGCTGTTTATGCTGTTCCAATGTTTACCTTTGACCCACCGCGGGTATCACTCTCCGGTAATCAATAACTCTTCAAAACATCAATGAATTTGTTTCCTTTTTGCCGAAATTCATTGATGTTTTGAAGAGTTATTGATTACCGGAGAGTGATACCCGCGGTGGGTCAAAGGTAAACATTGGAACAGCATAAACAGTAGAATGGGAATCCCTTCACTAAGCCTCTAACCAAGATCGTGGGCAAGACATATAGTGGAAAATGTAAAATTAATGAAAATTTGGCCGAAAGCGCAGCCGCTACTATGTTCAAGTGAAGTATGCAGCCACGCCCTATCCATCTCTGGGATATGAAGCGTGCTATCAAGGAATGATGAATGGCTTCACCATCTCCGGACGGCTGCGGCTGTCCTACACGTCTTGCTTACGAAGTTTTTCGGTACATGTTTTGAAAAAAAAACTAGTGTTTTGAAAAAACCGGATTGAAAACCCCCAAGACCGCATAGAATTTGTGGCCGCAAATCTAGCAGGCTACCTTACAGGAGCAAGGCTTATACCCAGAAAAACAAGGGGTGCTACTGTGCGTTCTCCACAGAAGAGCGCATTATTGGAATGAGAAAAATCCCAAATTACATGAAATTCGCTCAATAGTTAAATCTGAACCTTTGCCGAATCTGAACGATTCTGAGCTATTGGAAGACTGAAGTAAAAAAAGATAACAGCCGCTAGAAATTTGAAAATTTGAGTTACATATAGTAGAGACGAGCGCCACTGAAAGGTGGACCAAGAGGCCTTGAAATTCCCAGTGATATAAGCAACAGCTATTCTAACCAAGAATCGGGGCTTCCACATACAGTAAAAACTTGGTCATGACATTCTAATAACAGAAATGAAAAATAAAAAGACAGAATTTGTAGAAAAATTACTTTTTGTCGATAAACTGTTAGCAGATGTCGTCGTGTGGCATCGTCGTAGGGAAAAGTGATGCCGTCGAGGAGCTGCATCACCGAGGAACTCTCGATGAGTGCAGGATTGTGGAAGGAAGACGACTCACGCTGTAGTACCTGAAAATCACTGCTCGCTTCTTCTCGTTCGTTTGACCGCGCTATCGCCGCCCACATCAAAACATCCATTGAATCGAACATACACGGAGCCTATGAGTCACAAGTGGAGGGATGGTCAGAGATGACGAGAATAGCTCAAAGACAATTCTCGGGGTCAAACGTTACAGTCAGTGGGTGTTCAACTGAGAATAACTTGTAGCCAATAAGTGACTTTGCAGTGAAGAAAATGCGGAAAAAAATTCGGGCGACACTTCAATTGAAGACCCCCCTTTGACAGCCGCACGAACTCATCGTACTAGTTTTCCGGACTTGCATACAGAAAGACTCCCTGCGGTCTCTGTGCAACCGGTTGCGCGACAACTA